CAAAAGTTATTAATGTTATTTCATTCCTATAAAATGAATTAATAACAATAAAACTATGTCACACTTGTGATTTTCTCTTTTTCAAATTTCATCCACATGGATGCACCTTTCCCCAGAAATAATTTTATGACATGTATTACTTCTTATCAATTACCTCAGAAAAATTTTGTTTTCCTTGAGTTTTGTCATCGAATGAAATATTTAAGTCGATTTTTGAATGCCGCTGGCAAATTTAAAAACTACCCCACAAAGATAACCAATCATAAGAAAAAGTTGCCGATTGAATACAGATTCCGAAATAGTATAACATATGTGGTTATTCAAAACAGCCTTTTTGTTATTAATTTTTTCAAAATGGGTCGCATTTTTCAGAAAAATTTAATAACTTTCGAACCATCAACAATTTGATAACAACATATACCGTTAGTTTGATTACAAATGACCTCCCCTACCACCCCACTTCTTTTGATCCATTACTTATGGGACACCCTGTATATAGTTACTGTTTCTCATCGTCCAATTAACCCCTCGATTCGGAATACGTTTTTGACACTACCCTGTTTTATCACTAACCAAACCGATTTTGTATACGCCTCGAGACATGTTTCGCTAACTATGGTAGCATCTTCAGGAGAAGATTAAATCTAAATATTCTATTCTAGTGAGATACTTATACATATACTAGGTATGTATATGCACAGTATAGGTCCTTATATGTCCACCCAGCCGTGAAAGACACTAACCGCTCAGTTAATGTTTGTCATGGTTGAGTTCACATGTTCACCTTGATCTTATATCACTAAACTATACAGAGGGTTATATGGAATAGGTCCATTATGTTTATTCATTACATTATTACTATTCTTGAATATTTCTAGGATTTCATATGCATCTAATTTCCTAACATAATTATCTTTTTTAACTAATTTGAGGATATTAATATGTGTGTTATGATTGTGATACGACATATGTTCGGCTACACATGATTTACCTAACCTATCATATTTCAAATGTGCTAGGTGTTCTTTGAACCTTGTTTTCATGGGTCGCCTGGTTTGGCCTATGTATGTTGTATCACAATCATTATAACTTATTATATAATTATATAATTTCGTATATTCCTTATCTTCTGGATTAACTAATAAATTGACTAATTATTGGGATTATTCTCGAATTGTTTTTATCCGCTTGAAAAGTCGTAGAATTCCAAAGTGTTAACTTAAATTTATGTCTAAGTATTAATTTATCTACTATTTTGATACCATAACCATTGACTCAGCCACTTTATAAACAACACTCCTTTCATTTCATCGCTCATAGGAAATGAAATTAGTCCATGTACAGGGTGATCAACTGAGAATGGATGTCATCAATCGGTCTTTAAACTTTGATCGTTAATATCTTTCGCTAGCTGTTGAGATTAAGATTCTCTTTTTTATCGTGCAATAATATGCATACCATTGTTTTTTTTTTTCAAATCACGATATCCATTGTTCCATATCCACGTTGGATTACCGGTAGTGGGTTCGATTCCCACCACGAACGCAGAAATTTTTCTGATGGCCTAAGAAAGTCTTTGGAATCACCCGTTAAAAGGTATGACCCCCGTCATTCCTTGCTCGCACAAGTCTCTTGAAGACTTCTGAGATGTGCTCGTAAGGGGGCAACTGAATGATGGATAAGAACAATTCTAGAACTATTTTTTTTTTGGTAACTTAATATTTATTTTTATGTTTAGCTAACTGACTAACCTCTCAACAGTTAAATAATTTATTTGAAATTTTAGTTAATAGTTGAAATTCGTACAATTTTGTATGGTCAGACACAGAACGTAATTTTTTCAAGTCAATTTCCATTTCGCAAAAAATGATTCTATTTTTTTCTTTCTTTCCATACCTTTTTCGTACGCCATTACATACTTATTTCTTGAAATTTCCAGCAACAAATCTAACGTTACTTTTGCAGCTTTTTGCAATATCTCTGGCGGAGTATCATCAAAATCGTCAGTACAGTAAGTAAGCTATGAGCAATACATTACTTTTCATAGCAGTTGTAGTAAATAGTATATTACATAACTAGTGTGGAAATTGACATACATTTTGCATGAGTGATATTTAGCACTTCGCCGTGTAGCGGCGAGTGAGGAAGTGTAATGAATGCATATAATTTCCAACGAGTTTTCTACACCAGTATTTCTACGACCATAAAAATATAATATAAAACACAAACCACAAATGAAAATTACAAAGATTTGATTGTTATTAATATAACGTGTCACAGGTCTTTTATCTATTTTTTTTTGGGTAACATTTGAAAAAGTTTGGTAAGTAGAACATGACATAATACAGTGATGTCATTGTAAACACAATATAGGAAACGCCCCCTTTTTTTCACAAACTTGTGATTGAATTCTTGTTACTGGCATGGGGTAGCTGATGATTAGGCATTACCAATCAAGGGGTTCAAACTTAAATGATGGAAACTTGTTATTTTTTTCAACCTTTATCACAGATTTATGATTAGGTTTTCTCAATTCAGAATTTCTTATCACGTCCAGTATGATGAATATCAATTTGTCTTACATCATTAAAAAATCAAGAATTAGAAAAAAAATTATGAATTCATTTTTTATGAAAACATTAAAAAACAATACTTTTATTTCCTTCAAACAAAATTGCACTAAATGTAGAAAATATTTTCATATTAGTGATTATGAGCTGCTCATAGTAATTTTCATCAATTGTGAGGATATGGAGTGCTCATAAAGTCTAAAGGAAGCAGAACCTACAGATAATTACTTAATGGTAGCAAAGATTTTCATTTAATGGGTCACCAATCAAAAATTATTAAGTATGTTAGCTCATATTCTGATAAAAAAAATTGTCTACTTCTTAGTGAAACTTTGTTGTGATTGAGTATATTCTATATTAGAGCTGAGTATCTTCTGTATAATTTACCTATATAATATTTATTGGTGAATAAAATTGTTATCATTATTCCAAGATTATTTTCAAGTAACATAAACACACAATTCACATGAACCATTTTCATTTTGCAATGTATTTAAAAAATTGAATTCTACTCAAGTTGGAGATCCAAATCATAGAAATAAAAATATTTTGTTTTAGAACAGGAAACAGATGAACACTGTGGGAACTTGAGAACCATCTAATACCTCACATCTAATAGTATCAAAAATGCCTTAATTTTTGTGTTTATTCATATCCTGAAGATCCCACATTTTCTAGTACACCATAATATACCAGGTGTAACAGGACCATGGTACACCAAACCATTTTGATAAACTTAATTTTGTGGAAAATCAAAAAAAATTACATTTTTGATAGAAATCAATTTTTTTTCGCATTACACCTGTTAATACAGAAAATAATGCAGAATTCAAAAATACAATAATCTGCAGGGTGTTCCATTTGATTCACCAGAAGTGGAAAATAGAACATATTTATGTCAAAACCTGACATTTATCAAGTTGATGGGTCATTCCAAATTTCAATCACTTATCTCTAAAACTAAAGGAGAAAAAGGGAGCGTACCATGATCCTGTTACACACAGTCAGAAATTATGCATAGTTGGAGTGCTTGTGCTTGTTTCCAGCTCAGTGTGTGAGAAATATTGACTGTGTTCCAGATGGTAAGAATATGGAAGAGTTTACATTCTGAAAGTTAAGATAGTTTGTTGGGAATTGGGTCCCGTTTTTACCATGATGTGATGTGATGGGAATGATATGACATTGAAATGAATGCAATATTCAGTGACTGGTGATGAGACAATAGATACTATAGCTACTATACAAAGCCAAATCTGCATGAAATGGATACTGGTATTGATAATTGAATAATAAGATAATTTCCACTCACAATAACACAACAAACATGACAGCTCCATCAAATAGTTTCACTATCCTCTGGATATTCCAAGGAGGGTTCTGGTGAACTTGTCCATCTGAAAGTTTTCACCAGTTGACATTAGAAAAAAGGAATAAAACAATGAAAATTTTAAACATACTATTCACATAAACCATTTTCGTGTTGCTCGGAATTGCTGGGAGTGTTGCTCAGGAATTTTTTTTTTCTTCAAATCCGAAATCTAAACCTCTAAACGTCAGCTGTGTAAACCATACAGCTGATTACAGCAAGAACATGGAACATGGCAGGAACAGTGTTGTCATCGGGTTGTCAACCTATTTTGATAGAAATTCCCTAGCCAGGGTCAAGAAATTCCCATTTATTCAAAAATTTTCCCACGTTTGTTTACGTTAGAAGTAGGTACCCAAATGAAAAAACAAGACTACTCCGGTCCATATTTATAATATTTACCACATTGAATTTGTGAAAAAGCCTTTTTTGAGTTTTTTGGTACATATTTCACTTTGAGAACTTTTGAGTTTTGAGAATGAAATTGACAAATTGAAAATGCTTCTATGCTTCAAGAGACTTCTGTCACTAGTGTCACTGACACACTTGTTCTATGCTTCTGTGTTCTGTGGTGCATGAAACATGAAACGATTACGGCTATTTTCATGTCAGTCGGACCATGAAATGACTTCAGTGTCAATGTCACTGCCTTGATTTAGGCTTATGGTGACTAGTGGTTGAGGTACCAAAATGATAGTTGTGAAAAGATTGTGAAGAGCATAAAGAGACACGAGAACCACTAGAAAAGTAGTTGCTTGAAATTGCTTGTAGATTTCCTAGTGCAGAAGTGGTGAAAGATTGAAATAACTGTAAAGTGATTATTTTTGACAGGTTCCTCAGGGGGTATGAAAAGCTCTCAGTCCCACTGTGAAGTGGATCCCCATTGAGGAGAAACTTAAGGAGGCGTGTACTTGGCCAGATAGCCCAGGCAGCTAAGGCCATTCAAACTGAAGGGAAGAAGAAGAGAAGCCTAGAGCCATTGACAGATTATAACACTGCAACACTGCCACTGCCGGTACTGCAATGAGTAGTGGCTCAGTCCTCAGTGCCTGTTGGCCTGTTGCCGCTAAGGAAGCGGTGCTAGTTGCGCTAGTTGTGAGAAAAGCAATTAGGCATAGAATAAGAATAATAAAGAAGTAGATATCAAAAGTCAATCTGTCGGAAATCGGAAGCGTCTATGATTTCTGTCTTTGTCATTTCTTTCCATCTTTTCTCTTTCGTTTGGTGGTCTTGACAGAGGTTGTTGAAAAGCAGAAAAGCACGTTTTCAGTATTCTCAGAAAATAGGAAATAATGTAAGTAAAGTTCCATCAATAGTCTTGCCGTTAATGGAAATGTGAAATGTATAATAGTTTTTCATTTTGTTTCTCTTAGAATGGCCCCAAGGTACGAAATCGCCGTGGGCCTCCAAAAGGGACATAAGACTACAAAAATTTCTGAAAAATCCAAACTCAACAAAGTTCGCCCAGCAAGGCTGAAGGGAATCCAAACTAAACACACAAAGTTTGTGAGGGATATTATCCGTGAAGTGGTGGGTCATGCTCCTTATGAGAAGAGGGCTATGGAATTGTTAAAGGTGTCTAAGGATAAGAGGGCCCTCAAGTTCTTGAAGCGTCGTCTGGGAACACACATTCGCGCCAAGAGGAAGCGTGAAGAACTCTCAAACATTCTCACCCAGATGCGTAAACAAGCCACACAGCATAAGTAATGTGTTTAGTGTTCAATAAATCCTGACTACCTACATTGATCTTTTTGTTTTTCATGTCATAGGTACTTTGGTAGATATAACATTCCTTATTCAAAGTATTTCATGACTCTCATGAGTGTAACAATAGTATATATACAATCTTACTGATTCTCATAGTTCCATTGATCATACTTTCTGACCCTGTATCAAATCATGCATTTGAAAACAAAAATTAACCAACCCATGTAGACTCACTTGTGTTCCACATTGAATTGTTATTTTTATACTCCAGCTTGATTTCTGAGTCTGTCCTCATGAAATTACATTGGATATCACCTCAAGATTAAAATTATGCCTGCTAAAGTCAGAACACACATTTGAACTGGCCAGTGGAACAAGGAATTTTTACAAATATGAGTGAGAGAAATAGGTTTTAGTAAAGCTGGCATTTTTTAAAGGAAGCTACTTTAATAATTTGCATTTATGCAATTGTGAGGAATAGTTTCAGGTTGATTTTTTATGATTTACAGCATTTTGCTATCATCATGTTTTGATGACATTAACTCCTTCCATTTCCGGACATGCAGGCAATGAGCACATAGTTCCTTCCACTATGTCCTTGATGTTTGATTTAACATAGCCCCTTCTACCCAGTGGCGGATCTAGGCAGTTTTTCAGGGGGGGGCCATGGGCCGTGAGTTAATGGAATTTTGAAACCAAAGTAATTGAAACCACATGAATAATGAATGATATGTATATGAATATAGAATATTGGCGGATGCCAAGTATTTTTCAAGAAATTGTATTTCTCATAGTCATTCATTGTTCGCCCAACTGCTTTACCCTCGGCTTTACCTATACCGAAAATATTTTCAGTTTCCATATTTTCTTCTGACATATAAGGGTTTTGAGATGACGATTATGGTTTCTCCTCACTTTGGATGCTTTGAGATAGTTTTTTAATATTTCCCTCTGATATGTCACGGTTTCCTAAAGCTGAAGATGACGGCCCTGCCTCGCTTTGAATACTTTGAATTGGTTGTTCAATTTTCCGCTTTTTTTGTACTGGCAAAAAGTATGAATTAATCTTCCTTCTATCCATCTGAAAAATTGAAGAGCTCAGCTAAGTTCTCCAGATCGAATAGGTAGGAGATTGAAATTTTTTTTTCACAATGACACCATGATCATTAAAATACATTTTTTAGTTGGAATAAACTCAGGAATGTAGACATTAAATGATTCTCGAAAATGTATTGAAGATTTATCTGCAGCTCTAAATAGTTTTGTTCATCCAAGTGAGTAAAATTTTATACACTGATTATCGGTTTTCAAAAATATATAAAAATCAATCTCGTTAATAATCTCACTGTTGCGTATGTACCAATGTACCTACTTACCATTTAATTTTTAGTATAATTTCAATTTCACTTATCACTTACTTCTTCTTTCTTTTTAAATGAAAAAATCTGTGAACTGAATCTTACTGTTCTGAAGAACTAATGTCAAATGACCCTTTCCACCCTTTTCTTTCAAAACCAATTGGTGTTTTTTGCGGTTTCGGATAAAAAACAACTACTTATTTCAGTTATTCCCTTTGTTTTTGATTCTTGCCGCTCACCGCCACCGGTCACCGCTTACCGCTTACCGCTAATTTGCATTTTACTGAAGCCCCGGCCTTGAAAATAATTATTTTTCCTCTATCGTTATCTGTTTTGCCGCCCTTTGATCTGACCGCCTGTGTCGTTTTCCCATATTCCCACTGCATACAAGAATATTTCTATATAATATTTGTATATGATAATGAATGAAATTCAAAAAAGAGTTGATTTGGCATGTTCGAGTGTTTGAGGAACCATTCAATACGAAAACTACGAATACGAATAATTTTGGTTTGTATAACGTAGCTTTGGTTGCATATCCAGACTGATTGTTGAACCAATATCAACTACTTATTCAGAGCTCTGGGGGGGCCATGGCCCCCATGGCCCCCCCCTCAGATCCGCCAGTGCTTCTACCACTGTGAATCTGCTCAGATATGAAGAATAGAAAGGGGGCAAGCTACATATGCACATAACACCTTCCATGACATAACTGAATATTTTCAGAAAATTTTACTTGACCCCTTCTTTCACTTGCCCCTTATATTATCAAAAAACATATGTGTACCTACTACATGATTTTTAAACATATTTTTATAAAATGACAGATTACAGCATATTTGGCACAAGTCCATTCTAATTACTATACTAGACATGGGCTTGAATTATTATAGTGTAGGTAATTTTTCTCTTCAACAAAACAATACTTATTTGTGAGCAGCACTGGGGGTTTTTATGCATAAATGTTATCTCAAATCATCAGCAGAATGTTGAAAAATAGAATTTGAATTGCATATTATACTATCAGCATCATCAACTATTGCTTCATCCCAAGGGCCATATATATTTTCTTTATATTTTTGATAATGAACATACAACAAGGGAAAAATTATACAAATCAAAATGACCACCAGGAGAAACAATATTGTTGCAAATATACTGACATGATAAAGAAAATAAGTATTGAGAAGGAGAAACAACACTTTGAAGGAATTTGGGTTATTCATCTCTGTTCTCAGAACTGGAAATAATACAAACATTACTACAGCAGTTGTAATCAAAATGAAAGCATTGTTTGCTGATGATAACCTTGAAGCCAAACAAATTGAACAGAATACAACAGCACTAACTGATAAACTACTTGATACAATGGCAGCCCCTACACCATAGTCAAAGAATATCAAGTGAACAAGCATCATTACAAAAGTCATAGTATAAATGGTGTCTGTACTTATGGTATCAGTTAAGGTGTGAAAAACAGGTGAAAACAATCTCCCAAATACTATAAAGGTAATCAGTGTTCTCAAGTCACTTCCTATTCTGTTTTCCACACTGTTACTTAAGAAAAATCGGTAATAGATAAAACCCAGTACAGTTGAAATTCCCATGGACACAAGTATGACAAAGGGGTCTATCCATTCATATAATATATAGAAGTAAATGAGAACAAATGCAACTACATTGCAGAATTCTTGTAGAAGTAAGGAGGCTCCAGCAACAGCTTCGAGAAAAGTTATCTCTTTGATGTCAATGTTCTTCTTCAGGTCCCTTAGAAACATTTTCTCATCAGTATAGTTGTCTGGGTATGGTTGTTTCTCATATAGAACCTTTCGCCATGGTTTATTTGGAGATGTTTGTCTAGAATTTCAGTGGATTTAATGAAACAGCTTGAATGGTGAGGCGTTTTTAAAAGTATAAAGAAACTGGTGATGTTCCAGTCAAAAAATAGATCAACTTACAGGTCCCATGATGATTGCTTCATTTCAGCATCTTTATTCATTTTGTTTCATCTCATTTGGAAGGTACTCAAAAAAATGTAGAGTAATAATGTATAATAATGTATTGTTAGATCTTTGAACACCCCACACTTTGACAATCAGAAAAAGTTTTTTTTATTATATTAGTTGACCATTAACTTTAACTTGCCATTTGCCATTAACCAAAGAAAAAGTACCAAAACACTGATGAAATTCTCAGTTCGGTGGTTCGCATCTCGAGTAACCAGTGGCGTACTTGAGACCGCAGACTACAGAGGATTGGGTACAGGTAGAACCACGACCATTTCGCAAAAGCCAAAATCGCCCAGCAACTAATAAAGCTTAAGGAACATTATTGCCTCCACAGTGAGTTTTTCAAATGAATTCAATTCCATACATCGAATATTTTCGATAAAATAGGCCATAGTTTTGAGGGCTATCCGACAAAATTTTGGGATTTTTGACTTTGACACTTGCAGCATCAACGTCAACTGGTGAGAGTAAAAATGTTTGCCCTCGCCCCTCATAAAATTATTATATGATAGGAGGACTGATCCGACTGATAGGTACCTAATCACAAGAAACTCACAAAAGACATTATCCAATAATATGCTGAGGATTTTAAATTTTCGTGTTCAATTCATCAATAAATCTTCGCTTTTCTTTTGGATAGTCTATTTAATAAATAGATGAAAAATTACAATGACCATTTAGAATGTACTACCTCCAACAAGTACATACAACATATATACAGTGAAAATAATAAATATCAATGCTACAACAAATACAAAACTTTTTCTGTTGTGGGTTCTCAAATGTGCTAATTGTTCTTCATGTGTTCTCAATAGTTTTCTTACTTCCTCTAATTCACGTTCAACAGCTTTCTGTTGAACTTCAGGTAGGTTTTCATTTTTCAATTTCTTTTCAAGGGTCTCTAATCTCTCATAGGTACCTTTAATCTCCCCTTCTATTTTAGTTATCTATAGAAGACATTTTATTAATAGGAAGCAATTATTATAATGAAGTAAATTTACTTCTTGCATCACTGAATATCCTGAGGACTTGCTTGTAGATGAACTCATTGAATTGATTGGAATTCACATCCAGAATTCAAATACATTAGGTGGTATGCTCGGTGATAGTCACAGCATGATTAATAAACCGCTTTATTAATCTAAAAAAGCAAAAACTTCATTATTATTCAGAACACACCAATGTAATGCAACATAGGAACCTCTTACCAGCACAGATTTGTTAATCTGTGGTTTGGTACTCACTACTCAGCTCAATCTGTGGTACCACCTCGTACAAACCTGTGCAGCCTACGCTTAGGACCTTGGGTACGATTAAATTAAAGGATTTCTCAGACTTCTGGAAAATTTTCGTATGGGCATAGGGGGCAAAGAGAGTTTATAATATTATAATCTTATTATTCTTATTATAATCCTTGGCAAAGACAGAAACACATAACCTCAAATATTTCAAATGATTCTTCTTCTGTCTCTTTACGAGAAGATCAAACGTACATTGTACGTTACTCCCACATGTAAGTTCCCACATGTAATAAATATGTTATGTATTGATGTTACTGTCGCGCTCTCGCAAGTCGCCCTTTTAAAAAAGAGAAGTCTGTCAGTCACGTCATTTTCATAAGAAAGGCAAATGTCAAATGTCATTTGATTTCAATTGTTAATGGTTGCTGGTAATGCTGGTTGCTGTCTTTGCAATCGCATTGTTTTGGATCTTTTACAAACATATTTAAGGAAGTGTTCTTACTTTTCTCCTTGAGTTTAAGCGAGCTTATATCATATAATTCAAAATGAAATTAGTGAGGTGAGTTATCAGAATGAATTCATCAAGTTTCAAATCTTAGTGAAATACTCGGTAAATTCCGAGCTAGTAAAAATGAATAACCTCAAAATTTATTTGCCGCTTGCAGGTTTTTGATGAAGCTTAGCCATGAAACGGTAACAATGGAGCTCAAAAACGGTACTCAGGTACATGGCACTATAACAGGAGTAGACGTAGCTATGAACACCCATTTAAAGGCAGTTAAAGTCACTGTTAAAAACCGCAATCCAGTGACTTTGGATACCCTCACAGTCAGGGGTAACAATATTAGATATTACATTCTACCTGATAGTTTACCCCTTGAGACGTTATTGATTGACGACACACCAAAAGCCAAAGCCAAAAAGAAGGAGTCTGGTCGTGGAGCAGCCAGAGGTAGAGGTAGAGGAAGAGGTAGAGGTGGTCCCAGAGGACGTGGCAGAGGAAGAGGAAGGAGATAAATGTGAAGAAATGTTGAGTGTGAGGATTATGTGGTCTATTTGGGATGGAAGAAAGAAGCCAGTTGGTTCTTTCTTAGCTATGTTCAGTGGACTCCTCTACTTTTGAGAAATGTGTGTGTGGACTTAATTGGTATTCCATAAATCTCAGTTGTCAAATTCTTTTATAATCAGCACTTCATACATTGTTTCATATTATTCATTTTATCATCAATTGCTGAACTATTTTCAAAATGATATATTCATCAATTCTTCTGAAAATTTCTTATTTTCATTGTTGAATGATTCTAAAAAACTTGAATGTTGATGTCAACAAAGAAGTGATCAACACTTATTATATCCAGTTTGAAGGCCATTTAGGGACAGTGATTTTTGAATAAGTAGAATGCTGAAATTGATTGTTCACATCTTCACATCTATCTCATGAAATATTAGTGGCATGGAACAAAGTATGGATAATCTGATCTTGAAATGTAAGTATTTCAATTTCTGTCAATAATTATAATTAATTCAATTTCTCATGGAAGGTATCTTATAAATGTTCATTTGGGTGTTATTTGAGAACTTTGCACTTGCGTTGAGCATATTTTTTGGCCTGTCTTATTGCATTATGTTTCAGTTGAGGCGTTGGTTGGGGAGTATTATAATAACTAATTAATAATTTTTCAAAAACAAGATTTAACTAGGAATTCCAGAAATTTTGATGAGAATATGAAATAGGTAGTTCAAAGTCAGTAATCATAAAAGAATCAAACACTGGTTTACCTAAATGAAACTGGATGTTAACTCTTACAAACATGTTTCCACTCAACTCAACAATGTATTTTCATTTGAAAACCTGAAATATTTTTCAATGTTCCTTATTTCATATTATCCCATTTGGCTCAGATTGAATCAACATCTCAATTCAAATGATGTTTTTACAATGATGACCAAGGATTTATGGTAACCACTTATCTGGTTTGAAAAAGAGAAATGCAATATTATTAATGTTCATCCAGGCTCCCTCTTGAAGCATAATCTAGGAATTTCACTCAATGATATCTGGGAAGATCCTGCTGGGAAGCAACTAGTCTTGATTATCACTTGAGTCTTGTAATATTCATTTCAGAGAGGAAGCAGTAGGTAGTGAATAGTAAGTAGTTTGGTGTTCATAGGTAGCAGTTTTTCAGAGCTGCAGGGTACATCAAATACCATGCAAATACCCAGGCATGCGCCAAGCAGTGTTGTCAAACATACACAATTTAAAGGAGAATAAGGATATTGAGGGAATGTTCATAGATCTAAATAGACACATTTAGATCTATGGTATGTTCTTCAAATTTGACACATGTACTCACCCAATTTGAATAGAGAACTTCAGTTAATCTTCATAATAATGAGAAAAAAAAAATGTCAAGTGAAATATTTTGTGACTGATGACTGGTATTTGGAAGAATGCCAGATTTCATTATTATGTTGACTTTGATATAAGTATAGTGACTCTTTGAACACTTGGCACAATGGCACAATCAAATCATGTGGTTTTCAATTATCAAGTAGCTAGGTTGAATGAAGGTGAGTTCATTGATAATCTCTGATGGTATATAGATATTGCCCAGTCAACACATCTGTGACATGACATCTCTGAGATGTCGCGTTTAGGTAACAGTGCGATATCACAAACGTTCCATATCGCTGGGATGTTCATAAGCTAGCACATCTTCGACATAACATCTAACATCTCTGAGATGTCACTATAAGGCAACATTGCGATATCACGAATGTTGCATCGCTGCGATTTGTTATTTGGATTTTTGTTGGGGGAAAAAATACATGAATATACGTAACTCAACAAAGTGAAGCCGAATTCGCAAACATTATCGTTTCTTTGCTATCAAACTATTCTTGGTTTGCTCACATCTCGCCGACACACTACACAATTTTTTGATACAAATCATAGATCTAAATACACAATAGAAGCAACTGATCTCATTCTGATAGAGGTAGGTACCAAAAGGACAGTGCCGTTGAAAAGAAGGTTGATTGAACAGGAGACCCGAGGGACCACGATATCATCAGAAGTCAGTGGTGTACCTACCTATTAAAATATATATCTGTTATATCGCAGAGAACTTATCGCAGCGACGTCGCATGGATGAAACTTGGGTGGGATAAAATACCATGCCTCTGACATCGCAGCGACGTCTATGCGACAAAGAATACGGTATTGCAGGTCACAATCTTTATATCGCTGCGATATCTCTGTGATGTGACCGTGCATGTTTGCTGGGTCAGAGATTATACACATAATCTCTGGCTGGGTGGTTGTGAATTATTTCAAGGTTTCTCAATCATAATTGAATAAACGAATACCTACACTAGAATCTAAAAAAAAAAAAAAATTTGTTCTAAAATTTGTTCTATCCGTCATTCGATTGCCCCCTTACGAGCAACCCTCAGAAGTCTTCGAAAGACTTGTGCGAGCAAGGAATGACGGGGGCCTTACCTTTTAACGTGTGATCCCAAACACTTTCTTAGGCCATCAGAAAAAGTCTGCGTTCGTGGGTCTCGAACCCACGATCGATACCTCGACGTGAATCGATATTGAAGCATCGAAGCACTGAGGTACGCCGGCCTCTAGTTGATGTAATTCAATTGGAAGAGTAATATATTTGCAAAAAAATATTATTTTCCATTAACGAAAGAAATAACCATAGATAGTAACTAAACATTTTCCCTATAATCTTATTGTCGTTGTTTCATAAATCGTGATCTGAAATTTTTAGTCGTCAGATGTTATTTGTTTGCAGTTCCTTAATCGAAATGGTTCAAGTTAGTTTTCTGAATATAATAAATCTGAATTTACTTTTGAATTAGAAATCCGTAGGGCTACCAAGTTAGATCATACAATATACAATCTGGCAACTGCGGCCTTCAACTGGTGCGTTTCGTTTAAACCCGTAATCACCCGTACGTAAACGTAACCCGAATTTCCGAGACTAGCGTAAACATGGCGAATGTCGAGTAAAGTTGGTGCGGTTTTCAACAAAAACAAATGATTGTTGTGAAGTCGAAAACTGTATGAAACTATTTCCTAGTCGTGAGTTAATCGTGGGTGATTTAAAATGTGAGTGCAAGCTTCACAATCTCGGGAAGTGTATATTTATTTTGATACTATTAGGTTTGGTTTGACATTTAAAACATTTGTCATGGTATTTACATTTTTATTTTGTTCAACCAAAGATGTGGGTTAACGAATTACACAATCGTAAATATTTCATCCCTTCACCTTAACATTTTCAGCCTATGCATCTGGTCCCTTGTGATTCTGTACAAATCTAATTTTATTGTAGGAATATTATAGGTTAAGTAATACTGATTGAATATTATTTTGTTCTTTCTTATTACAAAAACAATCTTGTGCTTCAACATGTTTCACTGTGTAGGTTGAGGATAGTTTAAATGAGGTTTCAGAGACAGTTGAAATGATTTTGAAGAAGAAGCAATTGAAGATGGCCCACAGGTGTTTGATTCCTGAAAAGGTTAGTAGGTACCTATATATCATTTGTAATGAATTTTAATTTTTTCCGGGATTATTTCATCATATTACAAGTTCATATTATTATGTTTTACTCGATATATATTTATGAAGTCCTGTCAAGGGCACTTGTTTAATCTCCAGAGGTTGGTAGAGAAGGTAATCTAGGGTAACCTACAGAAACTACCTATATTCCACACTCGCCGAGGTATGAGAGAAAAACAGCTCCCTAGGTAGGGCATATTATTTAAAACTGTCCGAACTAACTTCCATAACTTCCTATGAACTATTCCTTGTATATAACAATGATTGTAAATGAGCTGGAGCTCTGCCTGAGCCTGAACAATCAAGATTCAAAACATATATAGATACCTACCTACCCAGCTAGGCAGTTATTTTTAATTTTATTCAGCATGAAATATGTCTTGGCAAGTGGACAAGTCAGAAGTCAGAAGTAGAACCGTAGAACCATACAAAAACCCCTAGGAGCCAAGGCGATTCCGGGTGATTCAAGTATTGTTTTGTTTTAATTGTTTTACCAGATTTTTATGGGTTTTCATCCAAAGATTGTATAAAAAATGACAAGCAGATGGCGTCGTTGAATGTCATGTCATTTGTCAACTGTCAATCTTTGATTCTCTGCTCGGTTCTCTGTTTATTTTTGTATTCAATCAGTCCACAATAGATTATGGAGTAGATTATTTATCTTTTCATATTTAATACACTCGTTCATAGACACCACTATTCACGAGACTATTCATTATGTTCAATAATAATAAGGAATAATAATGATGATTACATTTTCGCGTATCTTTGCTCATACTACACCTTTTTCAATTGTAATTCAGAAAGTAGTTTCTATAACGTGTACAGTTAAGTTCAGAAACTAACGAGGAAACTACCAATGACTCAAATAATGAGTCAACGTTTTCCTGATTTTCATTGAATTACTCAATGAAGGTTTGTGTAGGTAGGTATAGGAAATGCGAGGGGTAAATCACGGGCTGAAATTGGGTACACTAGACTTCCTTTATTGAAAGAATTCCCGGAATTCCTGGGACTACCCAAGGAATTCCTAGGAATTCCCAAAGACTACCCGGAATTCCTGGGACTACCTAAAGACTACCCGGAATTCCTGGGACTTCCCAAGGAATTCCTAGGAATTCCCAAAGACTACACGGAATTCCTGGGACTACCTAAAGACTACCAGGAATTCCTGGGACTTCCCAAGGAATTCCTGGGAATTCCCAAAGACTACCTGGAATTCCTGGGACTACCTGAGGAATTCCCAGAGACTACCCGGACTTCCCAAGGAATTCCGGGATTTCCTAAAGATTTATCATACATCCCAGGGAGTTTTCAAAATTTTGCGTAAAAATAGGTAGATTACGAATGAGTTCCATTCGTGAAATGCAAAAAAAGTCAATCGATAGGTAGGTTGAATTCAAACCCAAGGACGAAACTTGGGCAATGAAAAAACATG